CCCTGGCTCAGCCACTGTCTCCCAGGGCACCCCGGGGCCAGGCAGGGCTCAGAGGTTTGCCAGAGACTGCTGATGCCCTGCCCTGCTCCCTCCCTGCTCCCCAGGGAGCCCTGGTTGTCCCCAGACTCCAGCAGTGAAGTCCCAGCTGGCCCATCCTGCAGAGCCACCAGCAGCTCCTGTGACAGCCAGCCCTCGCTCCGGCGCACCCGCACCCTCTGTGTCCCCCCCAGTAACCCTGTGAGACCCCAGCAGCCTGACGTGACACCTGCCTCTGGTCCCTGGCTGCCGGTGAGTGTGGGGCACCCCGGGCTCCAGGGGCATCCCGGTGTGGGGCTGTGCCCACGGCGGGGTGAGGATGCACCAACTACTCATGTGCTGCTCTCTTCCCTCTTGCAGAAGCTGCCTCCTGCCTCCAGCCGCCCCAGGTGCCCCCAGTGCTGCCCCACGCCACCAACCAATGCCATAAAAAAAAGAGCCCGGGAGGTCCTTGCAGCGGGGGGTGGCACGGCGTGGCGCAGCAGCCTGACTGCTCTGCTTACCCCGCAGGCGCTGCCAGGGCCCCCCGCACCGCAGCCAGTCCCCCCTGTTCTGCCACCCAGCCAGGAGGACACAGCTCTGCCCGGCTCCCATCAGCTCCCCAGGCACCTCCAGCTGCACCAGGGAAAGCGGTGAGAGCAGGGGCCTGAGGCCAGCCCCCTGGGCATCAGCTGCAGCTCAGGAAGCCCCTGGGGTTACCGGGGTGGGGAAATGGGGCAGCGGGTCAGGGTTTGTTCATGTGCCCTCATGGCAGGAGCCGGGGCAGGAGCAGGAGCTCATCTCAGCAGCACTCGCTCCCCGGGGACAGCCGGGCGCTGCCGGGCCCTGAGTGCTGGCCCAGCCCCGAGGGAAAGGTCATCCCTTCCGCACCACCGTGGCCAGGACTGCCGGAGCCGAGAGGTGAGCGGTGTGGCTGGGGATGCCAGACAGTGCCTTGGTGGGGTCCCTCGGGGTTGGGCACCCATTCCAAGCCCAGCTGCTCATGCATGGGGCTGTGGACCTGATCCTGTGGGTGCTGCAGACC